TTGGATGCTGCGTTGTATTGTTTTTGTTTGTGAATTTGTTTTGCACCGCCTTTCGCTCCCGCAGCGCTGCGTTGATGTGGGTGGTCGGCGCTGGGAAGTCTAAACGAACCCGTGAAACGGGGTGCTGTTGAGAAGCGCTTCACATGTAATTACTGATGGTGCTTGGGGATGGGATGGGGGGATGCGGGGAGTGAATTGTTTGTGAATCTGTTTCGGTTTGTTTTCTGTTTGGGGCGAGAGAACTCTGGGCACTCCGCTGGGGTGCGCCTTCCTTCTTGGTTTTTTGCCCAACGATCACCACAGTCTTTTTTTTTTTTGTGGGGAGAGGAGGAGGAGAGTGTGTGTCTTTGTGGCCCGCGCATTGCTGGGGACCGTTTTTTTTGTGTGTCCGTGCATGCCTGCGGGTTGTTGGGGCTGGCACTGGTCACCGCCCGCCGCCGTCGCCGGAACACAAAAGACCCAAGCAAGTGAAGGAAAGGACAACAGGAGTCTCCACGTGGCCCTCACCACAATTGAGGCACAACCCGCATAGCGACTTTGCTTCCGAGGGCGGCTGTCTCTGCCGCGCAGGAGGGGAATGCCATCGAGAAACAGTGCACCGTGTGCTCAAGATGGCGCGCACACATCCATTCATCAACGCCACACTGTCGCCGATTTCATGATGGCAGAGGGGTCAGGCCACCGAGGAAGCGCACGTCGCCTGCCGACGACACCCCGATAAGATCACCACCTGTTGAATTTCGCCGTCCAGCATGCGGCTTTCGGTGCCACAGCTGTGACGGATTGACCCACCGCCGCACGGCATGCCACGACCAACGACCGGAAATTGTGAAAACCAGCCAACGTGAGCTGCGCGAAGAGACAATTCTGCATCTACTCCGCTGCCCGGCTCTGCAGGTGCCCGGACAAAAAACGTGGAATGGACACTGAAGAAGCGAGGAAGCTGTGCTTCACCAAAACTTTGAGCGCAGGTTATTGAGGTAGAAAAGCTCTGTCCTCAACAGCGCCCTACGCGAAGAGAAGGCGCAATTCCCCTCGCCAATGCATAACGGGTCTGCTTTTCACGGTCTCCGCCGCAGCTCCCTCTCCGGGGGCAGGGGCTCTCTTTTACATTCCCACTGAGTAGGGCGGAAGCGCTCGACGATGGTGGCTGGCGTGCGGGTTATCGAATTTATTTGGGAATAGATGAGGGAAAAAGGTGTTGCTGTCGCTCCCCGTCACGCTTAATCTCCATCTGCGTGTGGAGCCAATGACACGTGCGGCTGCGGGGGATATAACGGCAGCCCGAGCTGTGTTTGTGCATGGCGATGGCACGCCTGTCGTTGGTTGCGCGTCCTCTTTTTGGACACACAGACACACATTCCTTTCACTCCATGTGTGTGGTGGGAGGAAACAATTGCTGTTACTGCAGCGACACTCCGTGCTTTTCAGTGACGTGTCTGATGTATTGCCGTTTTTGTTGTCTTTCTGCCGCTGCTGCCTTCTCCACTTCTTGGACAGACACGCTAGGAAAGCAAGCAAACAAGCGCTAATCGCTACTGTGAAATTGTAAGGCTCTGAAAGGACCAACAACACACACACACCGCCCACACACACATATTTATATGCTCTCACGTGTTGCTGCAGTCATGGCACCCCGCACACACAACCGTCGCCGCGTGACCGGATCCAGCGGCAGGAGGAGGGAAGGAAGAGAGAGTGAGCCGCAGAGGCCCGAAATGTCCCGGCGTGTGTTTGATTCCACGGTGCTGCTCTTCCTCGTCATCATGATGTGCTGCAGTGGAGTTGAGACCGCTGAGGTGGGAAGTAATGCTGATGCTTCAACTTCTGGGTCGGCATTGATGGGTGCCATTGCTGGAGAGGGGAGTGCTTCAGGGGGTGTTGAGGAGCTGCAACGGGTCGATCTATTTGTGCCGCAGACGACGCAGGTGCTGCCGAAGAAGGGGACTACTGACTCAAGTACGGCGAGGGATTCATTTGTTTCACCCTCTCTCGTCAGTGCTGGTGGAGTAATTGCTGCTTTTGCCGAAGGTCACATAAATGCCAAAAACTCCCATACCGGATCAACTAAGCCGTCTTCTGATGTTGTTGCGGAGTACATCGACTCTGCGTGGGAATGGCCCACTGTTGTTGGTGAGGTCAATAAAGAAACATGGCGGGCACACACTGTGCTTGGTAAAGCGGAGGGAGAGGGGAGTTTTGATGTTGTGCGCCACCCCACAACCACCATGAAGGACAATAAGGTGTTTCTTCTTGCGGGAAGCACTGCCTTGTCCTATGTAAATGGGAGTTGGGAAGAGGGCAGCTTGGAACTAAAACTGGTTGTTGGTGAGGTCAAGAAGCCTTCTGCGGGCGGCGAGCAAAGTGGATGGATCAAATGGGGCGAGGTTCAATCGCCGGGC